CCGGCGCGCAAGGGGAGCGGAGCGGGCCGGCCCCCGGTCGACCCTGCGCGCCCGGGTGGGACAGATCTACCCCAGACTCGGCGCCGCGGTCAGGACCTGCTGACAGTCTGCCGGACGCTTCGTTCTCGATGGACCCGGCGGGCGAGGGAGCCCGACCGGCCGACGGGGCGGGAGCTGGGCCGGTGGGCGCCGCACGCCCACTTCCGTTGACGTTGTGTGGAGCCCGGCGCGGAGTCGCGTCGCCGAGGAGCTAATTGTCGTCTGAGGACTCGCCTGAGAACTTAACGCTTATTGATGTGTCACAGCTGACGGTGCCCGCAGTGCTCGCTTCTCGCGACTCATTAGATGCCCTTACTAGTTGTCAGAGGTTTATTGGGGCTCTTTCCGCTGCACTGACGCCACCCCCGCTGTCCCGCCCAGCAGCAGTCACCGTGCGTCTCCAAGTTTCCCTTGGAGTCGGGCTGCTGCCGCTCTCACACCAGATCCGCGAGCTCTGCATTCTCCACCCTTTCCTCTTCCAGGGGAACTTGGTTCATTCTCATGTACCTACCTTTGCACCTTGTAGGCATCCTTTTTCAGGTATTTCCATGCAAGAAGTATTTCTTGAGGACCTACTAACAGTATTTTAATGCTACAGGCAATTCAGAAGCAATGCCTAAAACCGCTTCCTCTTAGAGCTTTAGATTCCAGGTAGAGAAGTTACGTGCCCAGGTTCAAGACATCCCAGCGAGCGATCAGAGGCGAGGTGTTTGGGAGTGGAAATGGGAGAGAAAGACCTGGCCTTTCGCTCCATCTCTTTCACCCTGGGATCTTTCATCATCCTTTTTTTGAGTTTCCTCCTTTGGTGAAATGCTCCATGTGAGGGGTTATTGTGAAAAGCAAATGAGCTGATGCCTATGAAAGGGCTTTGAAGGTCAAAAGTACCATATAATTAAACTTCACTGGTTCTTTTTGAGAAGTAATGAGAGTCAGGATTGGCAGAGCATTGGGGACAATTTATAAAGAACCATGAGTGCAAGGCTCAGGAATGTAGACTGGAAAACTGTTAAATGCTGTCAATCAAGAGAGTGATGTGATGGAAATGGCATCGTTGGAGGGTGTATCTGGTGCCAGAATGCAGCACAGGTTAGACGGAGTTTGGAGGCAAGAACTTGAGCGCTGTTTTTCCCCCTAAAGTCTACAATTCTAGATAAGATATGTTAAATGTTACCTTTAGGGCAAAAAAAGTACATAAGGTACACCTTGTATTATATATACCTCTATACTTTGTATTCTTCTGTTGTTAGCTTATTCATTTACTTTGTAAATCTGGAAACTTGTTACATTTTAGATTATCTTTGGAAAGGTTAACAGTTACTTGATGTGACACTAATTTCTCATACAGACCTTTTGAATTACCTTTAATTACACTAACCCATTAAGAGCTAAAAGCAGAATACTTTGTAAGACTCTAAGACAGGGTGACAGCTAAGTAGCAGAATTAATTGGGAAGTGTTTTTAAAACATGTTCCAAGTCTTACTTTCCACTAATGTAATCAGAATTTAGTAAGCATCCCAGGTCAAGTAACTATTATAGACATTTAAGTGATTTTGACATTAAGTTATTGTAATGTATGTTAAGTACAACTTTTCAAGATCATTACTATTGTTTAAAATTAGGTAGACCTGTGTGTACTTTCAGCACTTTCATATTTTGAATTGTTGACTAAAGAGCACATCTGACATGCAGCTAGGTTTGTCATAGTGTCCCAAACGGATATTATAATGTGGATAATTGACAATGCAGTTACAGTCAATTATCAGATAATATCCATATAGGAAATCCTGGTGTGGAAAATGCAGAACAGTGTATCATTTTTTGTATTTGGCCTTGAAGTTATTTTGCAAATTTTCTAACTCCCTTTAATAGTTTGTTTTCAGAATTATTTATAATTTTTGTTAGAGAAATTGTCAATTTAATTTGCATAGACTACAGAGCTAAGAAAGTTAGCTTAGATGGGAAGGAAATTATCTGCATGCCATCAGCATTCCACATGTATGTAGTGAGGAGTGGAGTCCCGAATTGTGTCAGTTGCTAAGACTCTTCAGGGCTTTATAAGAAGACCTACGTTCTCTCATGACCTTTTCATTTATTGAAAACCTCTTAACCTTACTAAGAATCAGTTTCTTAAGCTATAAAACAAGTGTGATGATATTCTCTCTACTTCAGAGCTACATTGAAAACTACATGACATAGGTGAATGGTCTTTATATATTATAGTGTCTCAGAAGTATAAACAGACTTTTTTTTATCAAGCTGACTTTATCATGTTTTCTAGATTGTTGTTTTGTGTCAGGAAGTAATCCATGAAATGTGAACATGGGGAAGAAACGGACAAAGGGAAAAATTGTTCCAGTTGATGATTCTTCTGAATCTTTAGGTATATTTCACCAATTGAACCTTTAAAGTGACGTTTACATCCCTAAATAGACATTTTAATGTGTAAAAATGGGATCAAAGTGTATAGAATTCTGTAATTTGCATTCCAACTTAATGTTTATATCTAGTACATGCCATTTAATAGTCTTCAACAAACTAATGGCATGATTATTCTGTTGATGAGAAGGACGGTGGGAGTGTATTTCGTGACTGTGCTACCTGTAGCTGTGAAACTTTGATGAGCGTATTTTCTGTTGCACTGCTGTCAGATGCTTTAGGGATACCTATGCATGTACTTACTGTTCTGCCTCTCCTGCCAGAACAGTAAGCTTCTGAACCAGAAGAGCTGAGGCTCAGTCCCTTCAGGTTCTCTGGCACCTGCCTCAGCAATGGGCCTGCTGACTGAATGAAAGACCCTCTTTACAAACATTTAAAAATAAAGAGATTAACAAATATGTTAAAAGGCTTTAATTAAAGGAAATAGTTCAATTAACTGAAGAGAATTTGGGGGGGGCGTTGTTATACTTAGGACTACCAAAAAAAGTAAAATTTCAGATTTGTATAAAATCTCTCACATAATCAACTCATATTCAAATACCAAACAAAATTAAACTTTTAGATTATCTAACAATTTTTGTACACGGTAAATTCACCTTTGATCTTCAAATGCAGGGTAAGCTTTGAGATTCCCTGAAGGAAGTTGTGTCTTATCCCATGCTCCTGTATTATTTGTTTTAATAGAACCTGTGTGCAGACACATTAGAAAAGGACTGGAACAAGGTAGTTTGAAAAAGGCTTTGGTGAATGTGGAATGGAATATTTGCCAAGACTGTAAGACAGACAATAAAGTAAAAGATAAATCTGAAGAAGAAACGGAAGAAAACCCCTCAGTGTGGCTGTGTCTGAGATGTGGCCACCAGGTATGCTTACGTTTTGATCAATGTGGGATTTTATAAACTCTATGAACTAGTTTTAGGGGGTGTTACCTAAGGACAGGATGGTGAGTGGGATACCAGCTAGCACAGATCGTGTTCCCTGGGGCACAGGTGCTGAGACTGAGGTTTGTGAGACTTAGGTGGTTTCTTGGGGTGTGTTCTGTGTTTTCACCAGGAAAATTGTGAGGGAAGCTGGGTTAGGCAGAGGGAGAGCAAAGGTAGAGCTGCAGGGCCTCAGTTGATTTCAGGATGAGCCATGGCCCCGGTACTTGTGCACAGACCAGTCCTTGGATGTGGGCTGCCCCTGGGGGGTAGGCCAGGGTGAGGGGGCTACACTTAGCCAAGGTGGCTCCCTTTCTGTGAAGATAATTCCTGGGGTTGGACAGACAGCTGTGAGCTGTTTGCAGGCCACATTCCTGGCAGCTGAGAGGAGTACCTTGGTCTTGCAGGTGGGGATATTTGGGTGGCAGAACAGCTCACAGGTATGCCATGACACTAGAGGTCAGGGTGTCTTAGTCATCCTTAGTGGTGGCAAGTTAGGGTTATATGTTAGGAAATTGGGCTGCCAGCCAGTCCTGTCATAAAGCTTGACGATGAGGCAGATATCTTTTTTTCATTTTTATTTTTTTTAAATGTGTCTTTATTGATTTCAGAGAGAGGAAGTGAGAGGAAGAGAGAGATAGAAACATCAGTGATGAGTCACTGATCACCTGCCTCTTGCTCGCCCCCTACTGGGGATCGAGCCCACACCCGGGCATGTGTCCTAAGCAGGAGTCAAACCCCAATCTCCTGGATCACACGTCCATACTCAAACGCCGGACTCATTCGATTTTATTGAGATAATTATAGACTCACATGCTTATAAGAAATAATGTAGAGACATCTCTGTACACTTTGCCCAGTTTCTCCCAGTGGTAACATTTTAACAAAACTAATATAATATTATAACCAGTATATTAACATTTATACTATCCATCGGTCTTAATCAGATTTCCCAAGTTTTACTAGTTTTGCGGGGAGAGAGAGACACACACAAACTTCTATATCCACCACCACAGTTCAGATGCTGACTGGTTCCAACACCACTTGGATCTCTCTGTTGCCCTTTTATAACCACACCCACTTCCCTCCTGCTGTCCCTTCCCTCAGCCCCCGGCAACCACTAATCTGTTCTCCATTTCTAAAAATTTGTCATTTAAAAAATGTTATATAAATGGAACCATACAGTATACAACATTTTGTGATTGTTTTTTTCACTTAATCACCAAAGATTCATCCAGGTTTTGTGTATAGAGTCTGTTCTCCTTTATTGCTGAGTAGTATTTCGTGGTACAGTTGTATCGCTGTTTAACTGTTCAGCTTTTGCAGGACGTCTGGGCTGATCCCTTTTTTGGCAGTCATGAATAAGGCTGCTATGAACATTTGTGTACAAGTATTTATGTGAATTCAATATTTCATTTTTCTGGGAAAAATGTTCAGGAGTGCAGTGGCTGGGTCATGTGACAATTTTTTTCCAGGGTGGCTGTGCCATTTTATGTTCCTGCCAGCAGTGTGTAAGTGGTACACTTTCTCTGCGTCCTCACAGCATTTAGTATCGCCACAGGTTTTTTTGGGGGGTTGTTTTTTGTTTTTTAGCCATTCTGATAGGTGAATAGTGATGTCTCATCATGGGCAATTTTTAAAAAATTGTTAGCAAAGAACACATTTACTCATTTGCATTTGAAAGGTTTTCATTAACCCTCTTAAATGCGTAGGGTGAGCCTGAGTATATTTTCATACTTCACGTTTTCCAGAATACATTTCTTACTCTCCATTTTATTTTGCCACCTTTTAAATTCCTAGTGTCAGTATTAACTGTTACCTTTTGTTCCACTGCAGTTATCTTTTGCATTGATAGCAGGTGATCCTCAACTGCTGTCCTAAGACAACTCATTTCATTCTTACGTTTCAGCTAATCTCCAGTGATTTTATAATTCTGAAAATATCAAATTTAATTCATTTTAGAATTCAGTGTTGAGTGTGATAAATCAGTAGTGTTTCATATCATAGTTAAAGGATTAGAACCCACTGACAAATATTTCCCTCCAAGGTATAGTTTTAGCTGCACTGGAAACAGGACTTGCTACTTTAGTGCAGTCTGAGGGACTGGCCTGGTCCAGTCACATGCTCAGTCCGGATGTATTTCTTAGCAGAGATTCAACCAGCTGCAGGCAAGAAACTCATCGTGTTCTTTTACAAATAAGACTAGATCTTGTAGGTAAAAAACCTCTCATTTTTCAATTAATGCTTATCCACCTTCCATTTGCTAGATATTTTTAATAATAGAAAGATTAACTCATTTTTTGTGCCTTCGGGATTTACAGCTCAGGGGAGAATGGTTATAAGCTTTAACAACTTTAATATAAGGTAGAAAATCAGGAATGCCACCAGGAACTACACCATATTTGGTGGAGAGCATTTATTAGAAGAACATAAAGGGTTTTCCTTGGGAGGATAAGCATAATTCTCCTGAGGAGGCAGCCTTGGTGCAAGATCCTGAAGACAGGGTGGGGCATGCTCAGTGGCAGCATCGGTAAAGGGTCCCAGGACAGAAGGAATCACAGGAACAAAATGGGGTTGATGTGAAGGTGCTGACTGTGTCAGCCAGTAGATGGTGCATGAACAGGAGAGTGACTGGACTTAACCCTGGAGAGGTAGATTCGGGTCAGAAGGTATCAGGTTTGTGGACTAGGATTTTAAGAGCAATTTATAATTTTTGAATTGAGTATATAAACATCTTTGCTTTAAGAAGATTAAACTGAAAAAATACGTATGAACAGAGAGGTTGAAGTTAGCAAAATACTATTTAGGAAGCCGATACAAAGTCCAAATTAGACCTAGTGAATGGCTGCGTTAGCACAGTTTGTTTGGGACTGGAAAGGGCAGGTTGGAGAGAAAGAGGACTCCTAGTACATGGTTGTCTGCATACCTAAGTTTTCACAACACTAGACTCTCTAGAGGCTTACGTTGTATTTTCAAAATTGTAGGAAGGGCAGAATTTCTTGAGCCTCTTCCATGTTCATTATAGATTATGAATTCTCTCTGGCCTTACAACTGATGATGATGTTTCTCTAGGGCTGCAGCAGGAACTCCCAGGAGCAGCACGCTTTGAAGCACTATCTGACACCAAGATCCGAACCCCATTGTCTGGTTCTTAGTTTGGACAACTGGAGTGTATGGTGAGTTTCAACTTCCATGCCCACAGACTAGAGATTATTTCAGATATTGGAGAACAGAGGTATTAGAGAAGCAAGAAAGTTAAAGTTTTGGTATTTGTTTAAATCCACCACTTTCAGAAGGCTAGAGAATGTGGTGATATGAGAAGCTTTTGCTTAGAATTCTACAAGCACAAAAACTGTATGTAGGAGACTTAGCCTTCAACCTTTCTGTTGCTTGTGATACTGTAAAGCGTATGGTAGGTTGTTTTTAGTTTAAAAATTAGGACACCGCCTGGCCTGCATGGTTCAGTGGTTGAGCACTGACCTATGATCCAGGAGATCGCGGTTCAATTCTTAGTCAGAGCACATGCTCGGAGGCAGCCATCAGTGACTCTCATCATTGATGTTTCTCTCTCTCTCCCTCTCCCTTCCTTTCTCTGAAATCAATAAAGATATATTTTTTAAAAACATTTAAAAAAAATTGGGACACTAAGAGCACATTCCAGTATAGCAAAACTTTGGCAATGAATTTGCATGACAGTAAATGTCAGGCTGGTATGTGTATTTCCTGTATTTTAACAACATTAAAACAAATTTTCACATCTTTAAAACCCATTTACACAGCAGTGCACTGAACATTATATGTCATTTACAAAATTTGTTAATTCTGATGATGTAGGTTTGTACTTTGAAATATGCATAGAGAAAACGTTTGACTTTAATGTTATAAGTAGCCATTTCAGTACAGTGTTTGGGGTGTTTTCCACAGTATTTACATGTAGTCATAATTTGGGCTAATCTTATCAGTAGCAAAGCAGGGTTCATATGGACAGTCTTCTCTAAGAAAACACAAGATTTATTTCCATTTTCTCTAGTAGAATAATTTGATGGATACACACCATGGATTCCAGGGATCATTTTGTCCCCTTTTTGGTTGTCAGTTTGTCACTCTTCTCTGTGGTCTTTGGACACAGGTGTTACCTATGTGATGAGGAGGTCCAGTACTGTAGCGCAAACCGACTGGGTCAGGTGGTTGATTATGTTAGGAAACAAGCCCATGTGACAACTCCAGAATCAGGTAAAAAAAACTTTGTTTCTTCTTACTATAGCGTTGACTTATCTATCTGCTGGTATTAGATTAACTTACTGTGCTGCCCAGCATTGCATATAGCTGAATAACATTAATTATGGTTGATTTAAAACTATGAAACTATTTTTCACTTAAGGATGTAAAACTGAAAATATAGATAATTCTAAGATGTTAGAAGGGAAGCTGAGAAAAAATCTAGTCAGATGTGATGAAGAGTCTGGATTAAGTGATGGGCAGTCACACCCTGTTCCCATGCCCTGCACAGGGGCTTAAGGCAGACCTGCTTTAGACTGAACTAAAAGTAAAGTACTTGTAAGTCCTTCAGAAGGCCAGGTGCTTCTCAGTTTTTTACACATAATTACATTAATTGGGTTGGTACACATCCTTAGCTTTAATCTTGTTCAGATTTTTACAATCACGGAAGTATCTTTGGCAGAGTCAGAATTGTTTGTCCCTAACCAGGATACGCCTCTGATCTTGGAATTCACTAACATTTATTTCCTGTCCACACTTTTTACTTGATTGCTCTGTATCGAGTTTTACAAGGTAAGGTTTGCTCATTTGTAGAAAACTTTTGTGCAAACGGGGGGTTATGCTGAAAAGCATATCCTGTTTGGTTTTATTTGTCAGACTAATTAATGCTCATATCAGTTTTGAATATTTTTTATGTATTGGATTTTCTCTTTTAATGGTAGTTTACTTCTATTTATTAGAAAACATTTAAAGTCAAGCAGGTGGAAAGTAACGATCTTAGATAAAATTCACAGGTGCCCGTCCTCTGTCCCAGGTTGACTGCCTCTGGTATGGCTGTTACAGGTTCTGCTAAATCGCTTTTTCTTCTTCCTTTTTTTTTTTTTCTAAAGCAGCAAAAGATAACGGTAACATTGAACTTGAAAATAAAAAATTAGAAAAGGAGAGTAAAAATGAACAAGAGAGAGAAAAAACGGAAAACACGGCCAAAGAAACTCCCATGAATTTTACTTCCCAAATAACTGTGAAAGGACTCAGTAATCTGGGAAACACGTGTTTCTTCAATGCAGTCTTGCAGGTGCCCATGTTAATTTTCCTCCTATAAAAATCTAGTGTCTCCATGTTTGTTATTTACAGTGTTAAGTTTTCCCCCCCTAAGTAGTTTATTCTTATGTTTTCAAAGAAAACTAGGGAAATGCTTACTTTGCATGTCAGTAAAACACTGTGCTGAAGGGTGCATTAGGGTTCAAAACAGACGTGACCCCTGCCCTCATAGAACTTGCCATTGGTGGGGGAGCATAGCTAACCCAGTGCAGGAACAGACCCCTCATGACAAGTGTATACGTGGTGGCGAGAGAACCATGGGTGCTGGGTGGTGGGAACGCCCTTCCCAGGTGCTGGGTGTGCTGGGAACTGAAGTCTTGATGAGCCAAAGAGAGTGGGGGGAAGAGCATCCATTGCTCTGTTTCCCAGATAGACAATCAAGGCTGCAGTGTTGGTAGTGACTTTCTGTTTTGAGAGAATGGATTGATTTATCTTCAGGTAACCTTCCTTTTCCATCCTGCATTCCAGAATTTGTCCCAAACACCAGTGCTTAGAGAACTACTAAAAGAAGTAAAAATGTCTGGAACCGTTGTAAAAATTGAACCACCTGACTTGGCACTAACAGTATGTACTGTAAAATTTTCTTTATAATCAGTAATTTTCCTCTGTGACTACCCATAGTTTTAAGCTATTTTAAAGCATTGATGCTCATTTTCACCTTTTTTGTTTTGTTTTAAGGTTAGGCTGCCAACTTAAAGATTTTCAGACTAACAAAATATAAGGGGCCTTCACATTTATTTGCTATTTATTTGCCTGTTTTGCTGTGCCCTTGTGTTGGCTTCCTTCTTGGGGATGTTGTGGATATTTGTGAAGTCCTAGGCATACATACGTGTAGCAAAATTGATTTTACCTTACCTTTTGTGTTAGGTCTTTTGCTTCTTAGGTAATATAACTTCCTGATAATCTAAAACTTAAACAGTAGAACTGAACTCTTCATAAAGCAGTCTGTGATCTTTTGATGTGCATTGTGAGCTTTGAAACGGTCAGCCCTATGAGACACTTTGACAGTATAGGTTGACCAGTTACACCTTGCTAAAATCAGTGATTCCAGAATTGGAATAAAGAAGGTATTTTTTGTTCCCATATTCAGGAGCCCTTGGAAATCAACCTTGAGCCTCCAGGCCCTCTTACTTTGGCCATGAGCCAGTTTCTCATTGAGATGCAGGAGACCAAAAAGGGAATCGTGACACCTAAGGAACTCTTTTCCCAGGTCTGTAAGAAGTGAGTATCCGTGTTGACTTTGCCTTCAGTGCCTCGGTCAGAGGCTGAGAAATTCTGTGAAAATTCATAGCACTAGAGCCAACCCAGTACATACATTAAAGCATCATCTGCTTCATTTGGATTAAAGAACATGTACTTTATGTGAAAATGAAACCTGCCAAGGGTGTTATTGAACTAAACAGAAATTTTGAGAAAGGAGAACACTTCATGATTTGGGATATGATCCTAAGATTTCATGAAAAGTCTATTTTAGTAGACTCATCATTGCTTTTCTTTTTCTCTCTTCTACAGAGCAGTGCGCTTTAAAGGCTATCAGCAGCAAGACAGCCAGGAGCTGCTTCGTTACTTATTGGATGGGATGAGAGCAGAAGAACACCAAGTTAGCACATTTTGACCGGTGTATTTTATAATTTCTTCTCATTAACTCCCTGTCACTTGATATCTTATGGGGCATTAAAGCAGTGAAAACTAGTTATTGAAGCCACTGGGTTGAAAAAAATTTTTCTACACCAGCCTTTTCAGCCAGTATGTTTTAGTGATTAGAGTGAACAAAGAGAATTAGGATCCTCCTCATGATGCTCTGTTTTGCATGACGTTCCAGCATCATTGTCCTCAGTTCTGTTGTCCAGGTACCTGGAGAGGTAGTTCCCAGCCACAGCGCCCTCACTTTGATTCTAAGTGTGACTCCACACAGCCTTTCAAATCTGGGAAGCACTGTGGTCCTCGAATAATGACGTCGTTTCATCCCATGTTGTTTTGTTATAACATTAATGAGAGGCCTTAGGACTTAAATCTCTTTTATATCAATTAGCCAGTGGTGAAACTGGTTTCATTATATGTCGTTTTGCTTAAAGTCACAGAACCTACTGACAACGTTAAGTGAGGACTTACTGTATATCAGTCACTCATGGTGTATGAGTCAGGAGACATTTTTTGCGTTTTGAAGTTTTTGTTAATTGCCAGGATGAAAAGTAATGTGTTTGGGGATGTGAATACAATTCACAATAGTGACAATGTAGTGATGATTTTGCTCTTATTTTATGTCAAGCACTGTTCTTAGCATTTTATATGAATGACCATACTCAGTCTTCACAGCCATTCTGCAAGGTAGATGCTGTCACCAATCCCTTGCTCCTAGACTCTGGAGCTAGGCTGTTGGAAGCTTCAGCGCCTGGCTCAAGGTCCCCTGAGGTGGTGGAGCTGGGCTGTCCGTGCTGGAGTCTTTCCCTGTAGCTCCCCTCGAACCATCCTGCCTCTAGGATGTGATAGTCCAGTGGTCTCTCCACAGGAGATGGGCATGTTCTGAAAAGCTTTGGCTTGAGTAGGTTAAAATCTTGAAATGATAAGATAGTGCCTTTATTCATGGGTTAGTGGTTTTATAAGTATAATTCCTTTTAGCTCCTTGATTTTGAAAATGTGATTTTAGAAATATTTTTACTCAGTAAGTTTGGGGAGCTAATTCTTGATCACTTTCTTGACTTGATCACATATTTTCTAAGGAAAATAACTATAAAATTTTAAATTTAATAGTATGCATATATTCATTTTATTACTTTTAGAGAGTGAGTAAAGGAATTCTTAAAGCATTTGGTAATTCTACTGAAAAATTGGATGAAGAACTAAAAAATAAAGTTAAAGGTAATGTCCAACTTTCTGAACTAACCACTGTAGCTGACTCCCTCTGTACCTTAGGGGACGCATGCCTGCACATGCACAGTTATTAACATATAGTTTCTCTTTATCACCGCTGATGTGTCAAAATTGCTCAGTACTTCAAAGATGGGTGTTTTAGAAAAATTTAACTTCCGGTGTATTCTTTTTATGCAGTAGTATAGTGAAATTTACAAAGATAGAGCTAAGATGACATTGCAATTTTATTTTTAAAAAGCTTAGACTTCTCAGTAGCAGTGATAAGTGGAGTACACTTGCCTGCGTGATATGTCAGTAGCTGTTTATTAATTATGGAGCCAACTTCTCTCTTACTGGTGTGGCATTTAGAGATTTGGCATCAGTCTGCTTGGTGGGTCTCTCTGTGAGGGTGGAAGTCTTCCCTGTCTCCTCTGTCTGCTGCAGTAGCCACTGGCCACTGTTGGCTCTTGAGTCCTTGAAGTGGGATTGGTGCAACTGATGAGCTACATTTTAATTTTTATTTAATTTTTATTAATTTAATTTAAATGGCCACAAGTGACTAGTGGCTACTATATTGTAAACCACAATATAGAATCAACACATAGCAACTCTTTACCTCTGTGGTGCCCTTTAGGGCCTGGCCAGTTAACAGAGGGAATCTCTCTTGTTGTCGCTGTCTGTCATAAAATGTGTTTCTGTATAAATTGACATCTGTTATTTGAATAAAGCATACACATTTCATGTATTTAGAAAAGGGGGACCAGGTAGTAAAATTATGTCACCTTACACTAAATGTATCAAGATTAGTTCTGGAACATAGGAAAATAAAAGGAGAATTTTATCCGAAACATTTTCCTGAAGGGTTTTGCTTGTTTTTTTTTTGCTTTGATTTTAAGTGGAGTTCAGTCTTAGAGTTCACAAAGCAGGTGACATGCATTGCCTCCCATTTGCTGCCGAATGTGAGCATGTCAGAGCTGGAAGGGAGCTAGAGAATCAGGCAGCTCGCCGTCTGCTCTTGTCACTGGTGTAGATAGCGATACAGAAAGTCTCCCTGACCACAGTTCATTTTGCACTGACTAGATCTTGGTAGGAATTTTCTCTTTCTCATAAGATGTGATAGTGTGAAATTCTGTCATGCTCACAAGTGCAGTATATGATGCTGACTATAGCATAAAAATAAAATTATGGTAATTATGAATAGAGAAAGACAAGTCTGAGATAGGAAATTATAGGTAAAATTTTAGGATTAGAGAAATTAGGTAAGTAGTTTTGGCTTATTCGGTTGGTTTTATAAGTGTGACTGATACACTTTCCCCTCACAGATTATGAGAAGAAGAAATCGGTGCCCAGTTTCGTGGACCGCATCTTTGGTGGGGAGCTGACAAGCACGATCATGTGCGATGAATGTAGAACGGTAAGCACGGTCCTGCGGGTGGACACACTGTGAAGACACAGTCTGCCAGTTGTTGCTTTCAGGACAGAGAGGTCTAGCTGCACAAGCTGTTCTTTGTGGAACCACCCAAACATGCACAGTTCTCTGCTGGAACTGTGAGCACTCATGATAGTGGAAGAAGTTAGTTAATGTGTTGCTTTGCTTCCCTAACCCGGAGTTCTCAGTGCTGTGTTTTCTGTTTATTTTCTTTAGCCTGTATTTTAAAGCTTAACAATGCCCTCCCCTCCTTCCCCCCATGATCTTACTATATAATGTTTACAATGAACTTTTCCTTCCTTTCACATTTTCTTTTTTGGTTGGTTAAGGTCTCCTTGGTTCATGAGTCTTTCCTTGACTTGTCCCTACCAGTTTTAGATGATCAGGTAAGACTATTGAGTTCATTTTATTTAAGTAGATCTTTTTCTGTTAGATTTTATGGGGGAGCCCTGTCACCTTTTCCAATTTGGTACATTACTAGCCCATGGAGAATTTTTCTTAGATTATTTGAGAGAGAAGAATTTTAAATAGTTGAACAAAAAAGAGGTAAATACCTTTTTTACAAAAAAGAGTAACGTGTGTTTGGACTTCTTTATAGTTAACTGAATTATATGTTTATATGTAGGGACTTAATTATAGTTAATTACTTTATATGTATTTTCACATTAAAAGTTACTGTTTACTTTCATTATTTAAGACTAACCACAAATCCCTTCCAGTCATAAGTTCATCAATGTTGAGACTATCTCAGTTTTAAGCCATATTGATCTGGTTTGTAGTAGAAGTAGGAAAAAAGAGAACATGTTATGAATTTAAGATAAATCATATTCAACTTAATATGAATTAGGGGTCCCTTTAATCACTGTTACTTAGTGATTAAAGTCTTACCAAATTTTATTTTCTCTTTCCTCAAAACTGTCATTTAGAAGGAATGAATTAACAGAAATGCCTCTACTGGGACATGTAAATCACTTGTGAGCAGAAGGGTCACAGCACGTGTCTGAAACAGTTTATCACGTTCCTTCTGTTACAGTTGCCTGTGGAGTCACTTTCTTACTGCTGGTTTGCTTGTTTTGTCAGTGTATGAAGGTTGCTGTTTAGTATTTGAGATGAACAAATTTTGTCCTGGATATATTTTCAAACATTATGGAAAATAAATTAGTGTAAAATAGACGTAGAAAAATACTTAGGTAATGTAACGTCTCGTCACCAAATAGTAGAATTTGTAATTTTATTTTTGGCCCATTTTCTTTCCATATATTAAGAGTGGTAAGAAAAGTATAAATGATAAACATCTGAAAAAGACAGTGGAAAGTGAGGATAAAGACAGCGAGGAAGACAAGGATGATGACAGTTACGTAAAGGAGAGAAACGACGCCCCATTGGGTGCGAGCAAGCACCTGCAGAAGAAGGCCAAGAAGCAGGCCAGGAAGCAGGCCAAGGTGAGGGAGAAGGAGACCCCCACACTCCTCTACCTGGAGTGTGGGATGCGGGGTGTGGGGTCAGATATGCATTAGACGCATCTCATTTTATGGGCAGCGCTTTCCCTGTGACCACAGAAGCAGCTAGTCCAAGGTTCTCCCCTGGAAATGCCCTCCAGAGACACGAAGCAGAGGTGGTGCTTCTTGCTTCATCCTGCGCAGCCGGTGGCTTGAGGAAAGTCCTAGTTAATTTTTAACACTTTTGAGTCATTTATTGACATTCAAACTAAAGACACAGTCACATGCAGCACAGTCCCAGCAGTGCACGGGGCTCATGCTGGTTCTCCTTGTCCTCAACAGCACACAGACCTCCAGGCTTCTGCCCTTTGGGTGATGGAAAAAGAACCTTAGAGCAGCTGACTTTCCACTTATTTCAATATCAGTGAATAAGCATCTCTTTATACTTAACAGTCACTTATGTTTCCTTTAAAGTATTCGTTTATGTTCTCTCCCCATTTTTCTTTTTTCTAATTGAATTTATTGGGGTGAAATTGCTTAATAAAATCACATAGGTTTCAGGGGTACAGTTCTATAACATCATCTGGATCCATTTTCATTCAGGTGTATTTTTACTGAAGCATGTTGGAGAACGTGTGTGTCCTGGGTGCTGCCCTGCAGCCTGTGCTGTTCGTGTTAGCCTCACAGGCCTGTCCTTAGCGACAGTCAGAGGTCCACCCGTCTTTAGGCAGGACTCTTGATGAAACGCCTTTTCCCTCAACTCAGGAACGGGCCGCACGCAGTCAGTCCTTTACCGTCCTCTGTACACGAGACATCCTTGCTGCTTCCCTGATTTGGGGCTGTTTGTTTCCCGGAATGTTTTCCTCCATCCCTCTGTCCACTGCAGCCCTATACTCGTTCTATCTCCACAGTGAGACTTTGACCTGAGTTGTGTGTAGTCAATCACTACAGGGTATAGCAGTCTCTCCTCAGTCTAGACTCTTCCTCTTAGGAAAACGCCCTGCACAGTTTTATTCACCCCAGTGGGAAAATTTTTTTAAGATTTGGTCCTGCTTTCACTTAAAGAACAACTCTTCATGATTTATTTGATTCCTGATAGTAAAGAAACTTTTAGGGTCAATTCTGGGAATGAACTCTCCCAAATTAACTTTTTTATTTTTGATTAATAAGCAAGAGAACCTGATGCAGTAACCTGCATGCTCTTTCTCTTCCTCTCTCTCGGTTAAAAAAAAAAGTTTTATGCTTTTTACACAGAACCAGCGAAGGCAACAAAAAATTCAAGGAAAAGTTCTTCATTTAAATGAGATCTGCACCTTTGACCCCCCTGAAGATGATGAACGTGAGGTTGAAATGTCAGTTCAGGGAGAAGTGGACATTAAATCCGACCACATCTCACAAGAGGAAGTTGCAAATAAAGAATATTGTGTTAATCAGAAAGACTTGAATGGCCAAGAGGAAATGACAGAAAGTGTAACTGTCAGTCAGAAATCTGCTGAGGACGTGGACATGAAAAGTCCCAGCGTGGATAGTGAGCTGGAGGTTTTGTCATCATCTCCCACCAACTGTCCTGGGGATTTAAACGGTGCCTTCCTGGACGAAGGGGGCAGTGGAGAAGCAGATATTTCCAGGGGTTTCAGAAACCTGCACTTGGATGCTGCTCTTCACCCTGACGACATACATCTCGAGATTCTGAATGGCAGCCCTGCTCCCAGGACCAAGGTGTATGAGTTTGTGAACCAAGACCCAGAAACTGCTTTCTGTACTCTTGCCAACAGGGACGCTTCCAGTGCAGATGAGTGTTCCATCCAGCACTGCTTATACCAGTTCACCCAGAACGAGAAACTCCGAGATGCAAACAAACTGCTCTGTGAAGTGTGCACCCGGAGGCAGTGTAGTGCACCAAAGGCAAATCTAAAAGGTACTGGGTCCCTCACAGACAGTAAAATTAGTCTTCAGGCACATTCTGCATGGCTCCAGTGGGGCACTCCTGTTCTGTGTCAGGACCTGGATGGCATCATACGGCCCCCCATCCACATAAATATACTAATAGGATGGGTAAGCCGACCATTAACTGGAGTAGCTTCCCAGGTTTGCCCTTGGACTCTTCCCTGTGGGTAAATTGTCCCACTGGCGTGGTCACAGCAGGACCCTGACAGGTAGTGGCGGCTGCTTCACTTCCTCAGTTTCCCGCCAGCGTTGGGATGGCCCTCACCTCCTTTGCTCCCAGGAAGCCACACTTTGACTCATCGGGTACTAAAGGGGCATGCCCAGTGTGAGGTCCTGGGAGCAAGGCTTTCTTAGTTTCCCTCAAATGGAGCAGGAGCTTGAGGGCAGAGAGTGGGCCAGGGACCGTGGATGCCCACGGACTCTTGCTAGATAGAATTGAAACTAATTTTTTTAACTTATCTTTATTGAAAGTATTACAGCTGTCCCATTTTTCCCCCCAATTGACCCCCTCCACCTCGCTCCCACCCCCTCCCCAGGCCTTCACCCCATTATTGTCCATGTCTATGGGTTATGCATATAACTTCTTTGGTTAATCTCTTCCCACCCTCCGCCCCCCTTCCCTCTTTCCTCTGAAATATGATCACCTATTGCATGCATCAGTGTCTCTGGATCTATTTAGATTGTCAGGTTCTTTTGTTCATTAGATTCTTTTTAAACAAGACGCTTCAACTTGGTGGTGAACTCCTTTAGCTATTCCTTGTCTGAGAAGCTCTTTACCTGACCTTCAGTTCTAAATGGTAGCTTTGCTGGGTAGAGCAATCTTGGTTGTAGTTCCATGTTTTTCATCATTTTGAATATTTCTTTCCACTCCCTTCTGGCCTGCAAGGTTTCTGTTGAGAAATCTGCTGACAGTCTTATGGGAGCTCCCTTGTAGGTAACTAATTGCTTTTCTCTTGCTGCTTTTAAGATCCTCTGTCTTTAACCTTTGNTATGGGTGCTCCCTTGTAGGTAACTAACTGCTTTTCTCTTGCTGCTTTTAAGATTCTCTCTTTGTCTTTAACCTTTGGCATTTTAATTATGATGTGTCTTGCTGTGGGCCTCCTTGGGTTCCTCTTGTTTGAGACACTCTGTGCTTCCTGGACTTGTAAGTCTATTTCTTTNTGTGGGCCTCTTTGGGTTCCTCTTGTTTGGGACCCTCTGTGCTTCCTGGACTTGTAAGTCGATTTCTTTCCCCAGGTAGGGGAAGTTTTCTGTAATTATTTTTTCAAATAGGTTTTCAATTTCTTGCTCTCTTTCCTCTCCTTCTGGCACCCCAATAACATGAATGTTGGGTCTCTTTAAGTTATCCCAGAGACTCCTTATACTATCTTCATATATCTGGATTCTTTTTTCATTTTGCTCTTCTGGTTGGGTGTGTTTTGCTTCCTCGTGTTCCAAATAGCTGATTTGATTCTCATTGTCCTCTACTCTACTGTTGATTCCCTGTAAATTATTCTTCATTTCAGTTCATGTAGCCTTCATTTCAAGTTGGTACTTCATTATGTCATCGATGGTCTCACTTGCTTTCGTAATAGTCTAAGATCCTTGAGCATCCTTATAGCCGTAATTCTGAATTCTGTATCTAGTAGTAGTTTGCCTGGTTCTATTTCGTTTAGTTCCTTTTCCGGAGATTTCTTCTGTTCTTTTCTTTGTGGCATGTTCCTTTGCCTCCACATTTTGGCTGCTTCCAGGTGTTTGTTTCTATGTATTAGGTAGAGCTGCTACGTTTCCTGGAGTTTGTAGAGTGGCTTTGTGTAGTAGGTGTCCTGTAGGGTCCAATGGCTCAGCCTCCCCAGTCACTTTAGCTGGGCCTTCTAGGTGCTCCCCTGTGTGGGCTGTGTGCACTGTCCTTTTGTAGTTGAGCCTTGGTTGCTGTTGGCATCACTGGGAGGAATTGATCCCCAGGCCAGTCAGCTGTGAGGACCAGCTGCAACTACAGCCAAAGAGCTGCTGTGCTGGAGACACCCCTATGGAGCAGGATTTACTTCAGTGGAGCTTTGGTGTTCACCAAGTGCGCCCCTTGTGTGTGTGTCACTCTTGGATGTGGTAGGGCTGTAATCCAGTGTGGCCGAGTCTGACCACCAGATGCACTGTCTCTGGGGCCTCCCAGGAGGTGCAAAGTCAGCCTGTGCCAGAACCTTGCCCAGGGCCACCCAGCATGAGCTACACAGCAAACTGTAGTTGGCTGTTACTTGTGCTGTACTTGGCATTGCCCAGGAGAAGCCAGGCCATGAACCAACGCAGGCTGCCACTAGTACCAGGCCTTGGGCCACTTATCAAGCCGTATGGGGCATGAGGCCAGCTGCTTGTTTCAGAGATTTTAGGAAAGTTCTAAACATGAGGCTCAGTAGGCCACTTGCATAGAAAAGCCACTGGAAATTACTTGAATGAGCTTGCAGGAAGGGAGGGGCGGGGTCTGAGAATCAGCGGGCGGGGCCAAAGATGTTGAGTCAGGTGCTGGAGATGCAAATATGGCACCTGCCTGCTGGCTCTGTGGGGAGGACTGGCTAAAGGAGCAATGGCTTCTGCCAGCTCTTCTGCCGGGGAGAAAGCTGCCCCTCCACCTCTTGCCCAGATTTCAGTCAATTTACTTCCTCCTCAAATGTCCCAGGTTCCTTTGAAGCTGCTGCCCAGTGCTGGGGCTCAGAGGAAGCGCATCCGATTGAGTCCGTGCATGGGCCCTTTAAGAGGAAAGCCTGGGGCTCCTGCAGCTTCCGCATCCCTCAGCAACAGTCCTCCCTGGTTTTTACAGCCCGAAATTGTGAGGACTTCTCTTCCTGGCCCTGGAGCCCTTGGCTGGGGGTCCTGTTGTGGGGTTGTCCCCCCTCACTCCTCCAGGAAACCTCCCCTGCCAAGATTCCCTCCCTGGTTTAAACCACGGCACTGGGTGTGGGCCCGTGGCCAAATCTCCACGATTCAGCCCTGATCTGCCTCATCTCTGCTCCTCCTACGGCTCTCAGTGCTTCTTCAGTTCCCTGGTTGTAGGGCTTCTGTTCAGATAGATTTCAGGAGGTTCTGAGTGATGGTGGTTCTGTGTTTTAGTTGTAATGTGGTTGTGGGAGGCAGCAGGTACAGCTACTACCTACGCTACCATCTTGTTTCTCTCCTGAAACTAATTTTAAAGTCAAGCTTTTCGTGTATTTACATGTCAACAAAGTAAATTATGCTGATTTCATAGCAGTTCTGTTTAGAGCAGGTGTCAACAAACTACAGTCCTCTGGCCCAGAGTGGCCTGCACCTGTTCTTGTGTGGTCTCTGGGCTAAAAATTTTTTTTTTACATAAATATTTGAAAATTTTATGGTAGGCAACACTAATTTTGAACCCCAGTTGTTCTCTCTCCAAAAGTAATTATTATTTTCTTCATAGACTCAATCATACTTTATTGTTATATTTTGAATTTCATCAGTAAAATTTGTGCATGTTATCATCTTATGTATAAATGCCTACAAAAATATCCTTTATTTGACCTCCTGGTCCACAAAGCCTAAACTATGTAACCTGGTCCTTTTAAGAAAGTTCATGATGTCTGAAATGATTTATAGCAGACCGAATGCTTTGGAATTGTAAACTATTTCCACACTGCTACATTTTTTCTTGCAGGTGAGCAGAAACCTGTTTACACTGATGCCAGAAAGCAGATGTTGATTTCTCGTGCTCCTCCTGTTCTCACCCTTCACTTGAAGCGGTTTCAGCAGGTACCTGTTGTTTACCTAAAATTTTTTTAAAACATGGAACAGCTGCTTTATCTGTCATGTCTCAATACACTGTTTCTTTGGTTTTCTGTCATTTCTTAATTCTAACTTCAAAGAATTATGAAAGTAAAAATATATTGATCAGACCAAAGTTTTGATAAAAGATGCGTATCAAGGTGGAGGAGAAATTTAGGCACAATTCTCAGTTTTACTAGAATTCATGCTCTTTTTAGTAATATTAGCATCTGACTCCAACCTTAATTTTAGGTTAAAAAAAAAAGCCAGTTTTCTAGTTACATGTCCCACTTGGGAAATTCAGTGCTGTGGTACCTTATTTGATAAAAAAAATCATTGGATTTTCACCATTTTCGTGACTCCTTCTCTTCTGGAAGACTCTTGCTATACGCAGTACATTTTCTAATTCACTTCCAAATTCCCAGAGTGCCTTCAGAATGTTTTCCCTCCTAAGGGTGCTAGGGTCGTGTCTAATGGGGCGGGTCTGGGAACGATGCGCTTGGTCAGAGTGGAGACTGAGTGCTTCAGAGAGTATTCTGCTCAGTTTTAAGCATCAGAACCTCAGGTCTAATGTGGCTTTTCTCAGTGGCCAAAGCAGAAATGTTGCGAGTTTCCTCACAGGAGCAGCTTTTGTGGTGAGTCTATGGGGTGCATGCAGCAAAACAGATCAGCTCACAATCAGTCTAGCGGTCAGGAAAGAACAAGGGTGGGATGTTGTGTTTGGGCAGCGTAGTGGGCTGCAGTTTACTGACCATGTACAGCTTCTACAGGAAGAGAACTTGGATCTATCACTTCTCTTTTTCAGGCTGGTTTTAACCTACGCAAAATTAACAAACACATAAAATTCCCGGAAATCCTAGATTTGGCTCCTTTTTGTACCACTAAATGTAAGGTAGGTAAAAGTGGTGTTTTGGGGAAAATCCTTTAAGGAGAAATCATCTTAACAAAATACAACAGCAACTCGCCTAAGTGTGAAGTTGATAGGCATTTCTGAGTAGAGTGGACCTTTGATTTCTGTGCCTTTATACTTTTAAGGTCTACGTTAGCTCTGTTATTTCAGTTCAGCATTTTTTTAAACCCCCATTAATGTGGCAGACGTTGTCTTGGGACCTGAGGGCACAAAGCTAAAGGTGAGCAGATATATTAATGGACAGTCTGTTGAATGTGGCAGAGTGTTAAGGTTGATGCACAGAGCAGGGTGGTTCCAGGGAGGCTCTGTGAAGTAGAGGTGACTCAGCCAGCACTAAAAGAGCAGGTGCTGGTGGGAGTGGAGAGTAGCCGTGAGGAGTGGCAGGGGAGGGGGGGCACACAGCTCTGGAGCTCACAGTTTGAGGTCTGGGGAGCATGGGGAGATGAGCCTGAGAGCTGAGCTAGGGATATGGTTTTGGAGGAACCTGGGCTTTTTTATATTAGGTGTGTAGTGCTGGAGGCAGGGGAACCAGCTGGGAGGCTGTTGTGAGTTTAGTCCATGGATGATGAGTTTAAACTAGGGCAGGAGAATTCTAACCGGACTGTAGTCAATTGGCCTGGAAGATAAGGCAGAGTCCTTTCTGTGGATGCCGAGGGTGACCCAGAAAGGGGTTGAGCGTGATTCTAAGGACTGGTTGAATGACTGGGCATGTGGGCAGAGGGAATTCCGTAAGTCGAGGTGGGAAACAAAGGGCAGGCAAAGAAAGGATAGAGTTCAGTTTCGGACACATGGATTTTCAGACTGTTTGGATGGACATGTCTCTGGGAGAGAGCAGAGTGGCTGCTGGGGCTGCAGGTAAGGGTCTGGCTGTCAGTCCCAGGTGGTAGTCAAAGCTGGGAGAGGCAAATGCAGAACCCTGGCATTCAGCCATCTCCAGGCAGACAGTCTAGAGTCAGAAACACTGCAGTGCTGTCCTGTTTCTAGTGTGAAGTGTGTCAGTTTAAACGTATCCAAAGTCTTCACCTACGAAACTTGAAATGACAGAAATCCCCTTCTTCCCAGTCTGAAAATTTCCGAGAAGCCTATTTCAGAGCTGGTGGGTCACGAATTGTAATTAATACGTTCATGGCCACTTTTGCTAGTAGTCGGAAGATGGCATCAGGAATCCAGCTTTTGCCTAAAATGCCAGTGCCCCGTGTTCAGGTTTCAAGGAAAGGGCCCATGTCCTCATTGAGGGAAAGACTGGAAAAGAGTTATAGACACTATAGAGGTCACGTTAAATTTTTCAAGATGTGCTGGTAACTTCAGTGGGTGGAGACAGGAGGTACTGGGGATAAAGCAGGTAGATACGTAAGAGGCTTTGTGAAAATGAGGAATGGCAGATCCGTGAACTTTTTAAAAAAAAAAAAAAAAAAAGTCTGGGAGACTTAAGTAGGTTTGGAGGCCAATAGGAAAGTCCAGAAGTTGAAGATAGAAAGGTCAAGGTACTTGACCCTAGGAGAGGTGGGAAGGGCCAGGGTGAGGACACATAATTTCGAGTGTCATCTCTGAACAGGGACGACAGGCATCATGCAGTGTAGGTTAGGTTTTGCCTCAGTTTCCTGCAGTGGGAAGTGAGGTCAGCTGTCAAGACAAGGGGCTGGGGAGGAGGGGCCAGTTTCTGTGAAGGACATCCAAGGACAAGTGACAAGATTATATAGGCACACCAAGGACCTGCCTGACAAAGTCATGAACTTACCAGTCCACGTGGTATGTGATTCTGTTTCCTAGCAAGGGCAGCTGTCTGGGGTCTCTGTGATGTACTGGATGTGGTGGTGACGCTGCCGTGGGTGGGAAGTTATTTGCAATATTCATGGCCCACCCCACCTAAGTTCACTAGCTGTAATGTGCCTGTGAGCCACGTGCGAATCACTAGGCCACATGGGGCGGAGTCGGAGCTTCTGCATTTCTAATAAGCTCTCGGGGAAACCCCAGTGCCACTGTTCTATTACATTTTGAATCTCGAAGATACAGATTTTTCCAGGAATGAGGCCAAAAGAGGCCCAGACATGGCAGGGATGCCGTTCAGAACTTGACAAGTGCAGTGGTTCACAGCGGCCCCAGTCAGAGGCCTGTCCATGTCCATCCAGCCCTGGAATGTGCAGGTCTGAGGAGCCACCGCCACTCTAAACAGGGACTGAGGCTCCAGAGGTGGAGTGCCCCTCATTGAATCCAAGGGGGTGGGAGGTGGGGTGTTGAAATGTAACCAGTGATTTTTGGTAGGACCCAAGGGCTGTCCTCTTGCTATTAAAGGATTAACTTCCATTTGAGGCAGGACACAGGATGAGAGGGGTTGAGGTCTCTGGAATTATCTGACCCTGACACTCCGGAAGAGACTTGGGCAGGTTATTAAGTTTCTGGGCCAGGAAATGGATTCTGTCAGGTGGCCTCTGGGAGACGGCAATGGCCACTTTGTAATAACAGTGGGACTGGACTCAAGTGGAGAAAGATAGGGAGGAAGCCACCTTCAGACTCATGGATGACCCCTGCGTAGAGGAAAACTGTCTTGCCCACGTTTCCTGTGTCAGTGGGAGAACTAACGCCCAAGTCCTGTTTTATTTCTGAAGAGTGTTGCTGAAGGAAGCCGCAGGGTGCTGTACTCCCTGTATGGGGCTGTGGAGCACAGCGGCACCATGCGGTCTGGGCACTACACGGCCTACGCCAAGGCGAGAGTGGCAAACAGGCACCTATCGGATCTTGTTCTCCGCGGGGACGTCCCACAAGGTGAGCCCTACAGAGTCCTGGTCCTTGGCATGTATGTGGCAACCCCAAAAGTAATGGGACTTGAACTTTCCATTTACACTGATTTCCCATTTCCTCGACAGACTGTGACGTGGAATCCACCAAAGGGCAGTGGTTTCACATCAGCGATACCCACGTGCAAGCTGTGCCTACAGCTAAAGTCCTGAGCTCCCAAGCGTACCTCCTCTTTTATGAGAGAATACTCTAAGTTTTTATAACAGCTGTAATAATAAAAACAAGTACAGACAGACTAGATCATGTTCACTATAAATTAAGTCCGTGCCAGAAGAAATCATGTGTACTGAAGTGCTGGCGGGAGGACACCTGCTGAGTGACCACATGTTGTCCTGTCATAGTTTTCCTTCCTGCTTCCAGGTTCTGGAAAGATTCTGAACCAAGTCCTGGTAACATGTCTGTGGTGCCTACAGCACATCAATAAACTGACTTACCCCCAAAACTTGTTTTATTACTTAGAAAAAACTAAGTTGTGTTGACTTACCCCACAAGGTAACACTTGACTAAGGACACCTGACCGCACCTGGGTTAATTTTATACGCACAGGTGTTTGTTACTGGCAGTGGTAACTGACAGAAACGTGCGTCTAATTCTGACACCACGGTGTGCACAGCTGGGTGCAGGCTACCTCTGCTCTATGCAGTTAGCTGGCCCAAGGCCACACTTGTGGAACTAACTTGGCACCAGGTCCCCTTGATGCCAGCGAGCCAGAGGGAACCCACAAGCTGTCCATCCAGTATCCCTTTACCAGCCAGCGTTTCTGAGTTAAATGCAACTGTGAGAGCCTGTTAGCGAGCAGCCGGTAAGTTTGTCTACCCGGATTTCTTTGATGTACAGTGAACCCTTTGCTATGCAGTCACAGAAGAGAGGTCACTTTTTACAGAGGTCGAGCTTATCTGGGGCCCAGTCAGCCATAGTGCTTCCAGAATTCCTCTGGAATACCAGAAACAACATAACATTGAAGTGTCACCCAACACAAGATAGCACGTCCCATAAAACTAGTGAACTGTTACCCATCTTACGGGAAAATAAGATGTCCTTTATGAAAAACGAACTTAATTTGTAAACGTAAGGTGGTGTATTTTCAGTTTATCAAATCAGCCATTCAACCATTCACTGCTAATGAAACAAGTTACTCTGAGTCTCGGGATTTCCGGAATTGTGATAAAAACCACTGAAAAATCTAGTCCAGGAGTCAGCGGACTTCCAGTAAAGACTAGATTAGTAAATATTTTAATCTTGCATCACCTGGTCCGTCACAACTACTCCACTCTGCCATTCCCAGTGGAAGCAGCGTAGACACTGTCTAAATAGATGAGCACAGCTGTGTTCCCATAAAACTTATGCACGAACAGGCAGCAGGCCAGAAACACACTGGAGACAGGGCCCTGAGGACTGAAGTCCCACAGCCAGTTCCATTAACAAGGTCGAGTCAGGTCTTAGTCCAGGCACGATGTCATCAGAAAACAAGGCTTTGACATAACACCTTTACTGCATTGTCCAGCCAGGAACCAAACACAACTTAAGAAAACCATCGGGCAATTCCTAGAGCACGACGACGACTACCCCTCCCGTCCCCCAGCAAAAACTAACCCACTCAGTCATTCTGGTCATCATCCCAGTCTTTCTTCCCACTAGGAGGTTTGGGCCCACCGGCTGGTTTTGCCATGATGATCTGCAAAACAAAACAAAAAATTATAAGAATACGTTTATAAACTCAACCTGTAGAAGGAGGAGAAAGAACATTTTTCTATTAGCCTGATTCGAGATTAAACAATCATCTGGAGAGAGGAGCCATCTATCTCACAGTGCACATGAAATTAAACACGTAGCAGAACACTGCTCAGCGCTGAGCAGCGTTGAGTCTCCTGCTTTTCCTGGACGTGAACAGCAACAAAATCCATGCACATTAGAGAAGGGCATCCACTCCCCACGGAGCCGGGGGGAGAACTGCCATGAACCACTGGCAAGAACCAGTCAATCTGGAACCTGGTTTGCTATTTATACACGAGTTTCATCTTGCCAACCATCTCAATCCCAATTTCCTTGAGGTTTAGGAACTTTAGGTCCACCTGCCAGTTTTGCCATTATGATCTAAAGTGGTTGATACTTAAACACACACTAAATGCAACACTGGAAATTTCTAGTACATGCACCTGAGAACCAGTCCAGTAGCAGGAAGTGTGTGTCACACACCTAAGTCCACCCAGCTAGTTCCCTAGTAGCTTAAAAGAACACACCAGTTTGTATCTGGCAAAAAAACCAAAAACACACACCAGACACCTGTATCTACAATGCACTGACCCAGCATATTCCCAGTATAACCACCTATCATTTTAAAAGGATCTGTTTGGAAAAGGGGGGGAAGGGAGGTGACAGCTTAGGGCTGAAATAAACTTGGGGGACTCTAAAATAAATTAATTGGGTTTCCTCAAAGCAGAACTCTCACCCTCATATATTCTGAATCTCAGAACTGGAAACAGTCTTCTTCCCAAATTTATATGAAGAAATGTTTCTGTTCTGGTTTCTGTTTAAAGCTCACTACCACCCTCCCCACCCCTCCTGGTCCACACCCTTTTTCAGAAGCTTCCACAGGATCTGAACCTTAAATTCTTGGAATACCGTTTTACTACCTGAAGCACATTCAGACTGAACTAAAGGCGTTAAGTACAATTTTAGAATCTAAGTGTAGCTTTTTTTAAAAGGACCCGGAACAGCTCTCAAACTTTCTGGGCATCATAACCACCTGCCCAGCTTATTAAACACATTGCTGGGCCTTCTTCCAGGGTTGATTCAGTGGGGCCCAAAATTTGTATTTTTGACAAGTTTGAAGTGCTGCTGATGCTGTTGATTTATGAACCATTATTTGACAAAGGTCAACCCAGCCTCCTCCATTATCCAACACAAGTCCCATCCCAGACTATGTGCTACACAAAATTTGGTACAACACTCTAGCAACACAAACTGGTTAACGAGGTCAGACCAAGTGCAGACCAGGGGCAGATAACAATGAATAAACGAAGCCCAGGCTTCCGGTTAAACACAAGACTCAGAAGTGCCCTTGAGACAGAGACACCTGTGTTCCTGTAGCTACTGTCTTGCTTGGATGACTGACATTCACAGGACCTGGGCTAAGGAACCTCCTCCATTAGAGTGTCTGCCACCACCTGGTCCCTTCCACTTCTGGTCCTTTATTCTTAGCCATATGCTAACTTTTAGAATAAGCGAACCAGGTTCCATGATGTTTATTTAAAAACCAGAAAACACATTCTTTCACTGAAAACTACCCAACATACCAATATAAAACCACGCAACTAATAAACCCAGTACACAAACACCCAGGCCCGTTTCAGGTCATCTTGTGAGAAGAACGAGTGCTCCCTTTGCTGAGGTGAGGCCTATGATGTACACACACCACCAAGTGGTTCCTACTGCACTCAGGCGTCTACTTCCCACCAACCTGCTTCTCCCAAGATTAATTTAAGATTTTCACTTAATGGATTTATACTTTCTCCTAAGTACTTACACTCACTGTTCAATAACCACTTCTAGAATTTCTAGGAAAATGAATTCCATTAAGGTTACTAGCAAACACCTTCTTGAAAACCTATGAATTCTGGTTTGTCTCTGAACCCAGACCTGTCTTTACCATCTTTCCTGTGTGTCACAATTTAAAAAAAAGGAAAAAGCACAGAAATACTATCATTTTTAACACTGTAAATCTCTTAGTAGTCCCTCCATAGAAGTCACAGCAGAAAAGTTAACACCCAGGTGCCATAATCTCAGGAGCTTCCTACAAGCTGGCGATCAGCAGTATCTCCCCGTGTCTGTCCCCACCCTCGTCGCCCTGAACTTCCTCTCCACGTTACTTCTAAGGGGTCTGAAAACTATGTCTCTAAATCACACTGGTCTGACCCACTGCAGTTTAAGAATAAAGACGCTGTCTAGGGCCCTCTTGCACCTGTTAGGTGAAAGTAAAGGACACTGTGGGAATGAGAATGTGCTCATCCAGTTCCATGAACACACCATGGAGCCACATCAATGCTGGTTTTTCTACAGATCAAAATTTCACTCACCTGATCCACTCTCAGCACAGTGACGGCAGCGTTTGTGGCCAGCTTGATGGCCCAGTACTTCCCCAGGTACGTGTCCAACACCCCAGCCTCCAGCATGTCCTTCACAGCGGGAACCTCAGCCTGTTGACAGAGCAGTTTTCACTCTTCACCTTAAGCTCTTTTATGTGAAAATGTTTACATGAGAAAAGTAGGCAAAAGTACTACCATATACACCCTACAAAAGATTATTAATGAAACAGGAGGGACACTATTCTCATTCATTTTCTTTAGACTTATTTCTATTTTAAGGTTTTGCATTCACGAAATAAAACAATTTAAGTTCACAGTGGTTTTCTTTTTTCAGGTACCTCAATGTCTAATCCAACATTTCTATTTCCTTCTTGGTGCACAGCGTAGAGTTTGGAGATAACTTCGTTGGCTTTCACCCCCGAGTTTTCTGCCAGTGCCCGGGGGACAGCCTCGAATGCCTCCGCAAACTTCTTGATGGCGTACTGCTCAAGGCCCGGACAAGTCTAGAGCAGAAACAAGCTTATCAATGCATCCTGTTCAAACTGCAGGAAGAAAGCCACTCACCCCGAGAAGGCTGTACCTCTCCATAGGACGTGATCTGTTTCGCTAACTCGATTTCTGTTGCTCCACCACCAGGGACAAGACGTTTATCCTAGAACATGAGTAAAGTAAGTCACTAAGCAGCAGCTGTGTTTCCTAACCTCAGGTCCCAGCACAGGGCTTTCTAGTCAGCACTGACTCATACTCTAAACTACAAATGTACAGCTGTAGTGACCCGGGTGTCCGGTGGACGAAAGGGAGGGACCAGCATGAAGAATGGGACTCGCGCATTTCCAGACACAGCACCGAAAACAGTTCTTACAATTGAGAACCATCAGCTATCCCTTCAAAAGTGTAAAAACCTTACATAGAAAAGGTGCTTCCTTCCCTTTCATGCTACCCATGCGAGGTTCTCGAAATGTCTAGTCTGAACTGTATTTCCAAGGCCCTACAAGTTCCTGACTCCAGGAGACTCTCTCACTGACCCTGGTGAGCACTTTGAACGTGTTCACGCCATCGTCGACCGCTCTCTCCACATCATCCATCAGGTGGTCCGTGGAGCCGCGAAGCACAATGGTGGAAACGGCACCATCCTCCTTGTCTGCTGATAAATTAAACACAGCTGGGAACCAGTACAGAAAACACACACCCCACACTCAAACATTCACCATCACCACCTACCATGCTTGAAGACCACCACCTGGGTGTCTCCCACTTCCGAGAGGGACACGGTGTCGCAATGTCCCATTTCTTCAACCACAGGAGGGGTCTGTAAGAAAATGACTGTTGTAATAACGTAACACATAGGTTCAGCTGTCTGTCAATAGTGCCCAAATACATACCAGTCTAGGGAGAGCGGTAGCACCCACTGTCTTGCACAGCCGTCTGAGATCCCACTTTGAGTTCAGCCTTAAAAAACCCAAAAAGCAAGGACCTTAATAGGAGCGTTAACTCCACCTGACAGAATAAAATACAGAGGCTAAGCAAGCAACTGCACACTGATCCCCAAGTCACAACTTTCTGACCCAAAGGTTTAGGCTCAGGAAAGGTCTGGATGGCTCTGTGCAGCCCAGACGGGGGTGTTCATGGCATGATTCTAGAACTGGGAGGGATCAAGTCCCTTTGATGCTGAGGGCTCGAAGGTGTAAAACAGGAGGGTACATAGAAAACGTCTGCCTTACTGTGGGCAGTCACATTATGCAAGGAAGGGAACAGGGACTGACCTGCACATTAGGTTAGGTGCGAGAAGGGGTGGGGGTGGGTAGGAGACCTGCCCGGTGTGCCTCAAATGACACCCACCTGATTGGCCCTTCAGCGCTCAGCTCTAATGTAAGTTTTCCCAGGAAGTGTTTTCTGCCCCCCAGACTAAGGTCCTTTTGCTATTTGATCTAATACTTTATATTTTCCTCTTTTTAAAGTTGTCAGGGTATGTTGGATTTGTTTCTTGTCTCACCACCAAGAAGCCATTTACGATGCAGGGGGATAGAGTGAAGCTGCTCTCACCTCACCAGCATGACACTGTACTTGTTTGCGTAATGAAGAGCCATGTCTGCCACTTTGCCGCCTGTGACTATGACATTGGCACCGGTATCAGCAATAGCTTTGACCTGTGCATCCATGAGATTCTCCTCTCCCTTACTGAAATTCATCAGTTCCTCAGCAGTCTTTATCAGCACTGTTCCCTGGCAAAACAAGCAAGCACGCTCATTAAAACCATCTTACTACTTTGGTGCTCAAAGTCACAAGATAGCACTTTACTGAAGAGATCAAGATTTGGGAGAAAATATGAAAATAGACATGAATGTATTATGAAGAACAGGAAGTCTTTAAGAAAATAATAGAAACCCAGCTTGCTCCTAGACTCCCCACTCCCCAAACTCAGGCACTTTGGTGGAAAAGTTAGAACAACACCTTGCTGTTAGGTATGTTGTTGGGCAGGTGTCCTGGCATTTGACTTTTGACAAATGTCAACTAGTTACCTAAACAACAATGGGCTCTAAACATTTTCTAAAATGAGGACTAAGTGACCAACCTCCCCCCCCCCCCC